AAGCTGCCTTTGGAACTTTTGGACGTCTTTTTGTATCGGTCAGTTTTACCTTTTTAACCCTCCTTTTTCTTTAATTACCCCTTTACTTCTTTAATTTTTTTATTTATTTACGTTTATTTAATCCCTCACCTTTTTAAAAAATATTATTTTAGCCGCCTTTTTTAAACTTTTAATTTTGTGTTAAATAGTTTTATATTTTTTAATATATTAAAATTTTATTAACTATTTGACATTTTTAAAATGTATGAATATTTTAAACACAAAATTAAAAAATTTACCATAAAATTTAGTAATTTTTTATTTGTTTTAGTTGTAAGATTGTTTTTGCTTTTAGCTAATTAATTTATTCTTTTTTTTTTTCAGATCATTTTATATTTGGAATTATATGTGAGTCTCTCTCTTGTTTCTCAATTATGTATATGTTTTGATAACTTTTATCTTTAAAATATTCTTAAAATTTTAATTTTTTTTTAATAATATTAACTTTTAAAAATCTAGTTTGGTATGAAAGCGTTAATATTTTGTTTTAAAAATATTTATAAACTTTAATTTTTTTTATTAATATCACTTTTAATGAAAATAATCTATTAACATCTAGAGATTATGTTTACTTTCTTATTGTTATTTTTATTTTTTAAATTAAAGGTTTTATTATAATTACAAAAAGTGATTTTTAAAATTATAATTTTTTTTAAACTCAACACTATTTTTTAAACACGGTAAAAGTGTCTAATGGGTTAGAAAGTAAAAATGTACAGTGTTGCTGCATTGAGTTCATAATCTTGGAAGAGGACAACCTTAGCAGTCTATTTCCGAATGCGCGGTTGAATCTGGGCGGCCTTCACTTGGACTCTAACCACCTCTTTGGAATCGTTACTGCTCTTCTTGTTTTGCCCACAGTTTGCCTCAGGGATCTCCGTTGGATCTCATATCTCTCCGGTAACATTTCATACCCCTTAGAGAGACCGAGCGTCAAACAAAATAACTATGTATTGGGTCATAAGAGTCCAAGTCCACCGCTAGCCGATATTGTCATTTTTTCGGCTTTCCCTTTTGGACTTCCCCTCAAGTACACTGGGCCCGGAAAGAGAATGGATTGGAGGGTCCCACATCAATTGGAAAATGAGAGTGCCAGCGAAGTCGCTGGACTCTAAAGCGGGTGGATTGTGAAATCCCACATCGGTAGACGTGTTTTAAAAATTTTGAGAGTAAGCCCGAAAAGGAATGTCCAAAAAGGACATCATCTGCTAGCAGTGGGTTTGAGTCGTTATACGGGTTCTAGTAGAATAGTAACTAGCCGCGATCGAAACAAAATGATCACACACGTTTAGTACATCATATTTCAGCTGGTGGGGTGGTGGCAACAACGGTGATAATCTTAACCATAGCATATTTGGGAACGCTTGGAGGAATAGGGTTTCATGAAGTTGAAGCTGGTGAAGTAGTGAATTGGAAGGGCATTCCATTTGCCATTGGGGCTTATGGATTTTGCTTCTCTGGTCATACTCTTTTCCCAAATCTTTACCATTCCATGGCAGATAAAACCAAGTTTACTAAGGCTCTCTTAGTATGGTACGTACGCGTTACGAATCACGAATCACGAATCACTTCATCCATAACCCGTTCATCATTGTTCGAAAGTGATCCTAATCCATCAAATTGTGTTTATATTATGCAGTTTTGTATTTTGTGTTCTAATATATGGAGGTGTTGCTGTGATGGGATTCCTCATGTTTGGCCAAACTATATTGTCCCAAATAACTTTGAACATGCCACAACATGCTCTTGCCTCCAGTGTTGCAAAGTGGACCACGGTGAGTTTCTAACTCGACTTAACCGTGATCGACACGTATTAAAAAAAACCCGTCATTAGAAATGGATCCATATTCACATACACGATGTTTAAATTGACCTGCGTTGCATTTTCTTTGCAGGTTATCATTCCATTGACTAAATATCCTTTTCTGATCTTGTAAATTATCTGTAATAGTCCAAGTTCACCGTCATTTTGACCTATTACAAATAGTATCAGAGCTAGTCACTAGACAGTGCAATGCACAAGTCAGAGTAGGGCTAGACCCTCTCCATAGAACACTCACTACTAACAAGTATTGTCTGTTTTTGACCTGTTACAAATGGATTATGCAAGACATTGATCGGAGTAGGGCTAGACTCTCTCCATAGTAGACGTGTTTTAAAACCATGAGGCTGATAGCGATACGTAACAGGGTCAAAACGAACGATATCAGCTAGTGGTAAACTTGGGCTGTTACGTTATCGTAATCGTTTTGAAATGAATCGGGAATCCTTGACGTATTCTCAAATATGCACTATTGATGACTCCATTGGCAAAGAGTATAGAGGAGAGGTTACCAGCCAGAGTCTCAAATAGCTTGTGGTGTTCCATTCTTATAAGAACTGCACTTGTTCTCTCTTCCCTTTCTGTGGCTCTTCTTCTCCCATTTTTTGGTATGGTTTGGATTTTTCATTTTATTTATTTTCTATTTTTGTATTGAAATTAATTAATTATTTATTTATTTATTTATTTTTTGCAGGTCTTGTGTTGACTTTAATTGGATCCCTTCTCTGCATACTCATTGTAAGTCATTTTTTTGGAAACAAAATTTAAATCTAAAATTAGGGATGAAAATAATATTAAAAAATATCCATTTATTTTTAAATTCAATTTATGCAAATATTGTTGAAATTAATAAATTTGGAGGGATTTATTAATATTAGTGGGTAAATTATATATATAAAAAAAAATTAAATAAATAATAAAATTGTAATAATTTGGATTTTCCCCCTAATTAAATTAAATTAAATTAATTTGTGATATATTAATAAGGATAAATATTTATATTATATACCATATCCTAAAAAATATAATCACATTTGGTTCAGGCAATAATAATACCAGCCTCCTGCTTTTTGAAAATCATGGGGAAGGAAGCTTCTAGACTACAGGTAATTATCTTCTAACCATTTTTTATTTTATTTTATTTTAGCTATTAAATACAAATTTTAAATATTTAAAGCTATGCTATTAAATTCGATGTCTCGGAGATTAAATTGATAATTGAAGTTGACGATGTGTGGTTGCATGAAGCTTAGGTAATTTCATGTAAGGTGGTAATTTTGGTGGGGATAGTTGGAGCAGTGCTTGGAACATACTCTTCATTTTCACAGATGGCTCGTACAGAGATCAGTAGGTGAAACATATAACAAGATTATTCTCGTTTTATTTTCTTTGTACATGTTAAGCCCATGTATTGGTTCGTTTTTAGTTTTGCTAGTGACAATATTATTAATAATTGTATGTCGGGTGCACTATCAAAAAACGGGTTTGAAGCTCTTTCCTTATCAACGAGCTGATAGTTGATGCATATTCCACTCCGAAGATACACTAGCCAATAATTAATTAATTAATAATTAATTAGTTAGTTTATTTTTATTAAATCAAATTATTGAAATATTTTTATACTAATTTAATTTTTATTTATTTATAAAATATTATAAATAATATATGTTTTGAGTTATTTTTAAAAGTAAAGATTAAAGAAAAAATTTAAAAGATTAAAAGATATTTTTTAAATACTTAAAAAAAAAATACTAACCATTTTCATTTAACATTTTTAGTTTTTTTTTTCTTTGATTTAAATATGTTATTGAAACGCTAGAAAATAAATATAAATTTTAAAAGCTTTTTAATTAATTATTTATTTGGTCAGTGGGGCCCATTGGGGGTGGGTAGGAAATTGACAATTATAGCTTTTCTTCAAGGCCAAGCCAAGACGACAACGTCACCAATTTTGACTTTTCCTTTGACTAAGGGTATATACGTAATTCTACATCCTGGATCCTTCGTTTTCTTTTAGTTTAAGGTTATTATTGCAATAACTTTATAAAATATATATTTTATAATAATAAGTGATTTTCGAGAAACTTATAACCCTAATTTTTTTTTATTAAATTTAGGGTTTTAATCGGTTTTACGACCTCTGTATATCTAGTTCCTAAATTTTATCTCGATCATATTGAATAAAACTCAAATTTGTATTTCGAATCACACCCATTATTTTTTTTTATAAATTTTATTCAATCTTGAACTCAAAATAACTTCGAGAAGGATTTGACCCGTCGTGTGATCGTGATATGTATCTATTACAACAATCCCGTGAGTTACGTAAAACGGGTTTGTTGTCTTTTTAATTAACAGATATTTCTAATTTTCTGGAGATTAAAAATTATATTCGACTAGTTCATTAGAAGAATTATTATTAAATGAAAAGATACTTTAACGTGCATTGTAATAGAATCTTTTATTTAAATACTTAATTTGACTCCTTTTAAGGTATGGTGGAAAATATTCCATAATTGACCTCATGGCCTATTCCAATTATTGATTAGCATGGAAGACATTTTTGTACTTAGAATCATTATTATTATTATTTTAATTATAATAAATGCAAATGTAGCATTATTTTACGGATAGATACGGTGGGACCAATAAAACTAGGTCACGTAGACACCTACATGATCAAGTAGAAGTATTCGCTCGTGTTTTTTTTAATATATGTAGAGTGTAGTGGGGCAGGGTGGAGACGAGGATGGGAGATTCCCGTCCTCGGACTTGTTCAGCTAACAAGGAAAAAAATATATTTCCATTACTTCCTATATTACTCGATTAAATGGAACTGAAAAATCGAGACTCAACCCGAGCAAATCAGGCTCAGCTCAAACAATTACTATTGAAGTGCATAACGTTACTTTGACTCATCTCGACAAGACAACACCATGTCGTAGTGAGTATCATCCATGCAAGTCAATGGAGACCTCAATCGAGAACATGTCCTCGCTGTTTGAACCCTATTTAAAGCTCAATCATTTGATCAATCTTTGTTCAACCATGTTGTTGAACTAACAAACAATCCTGAAAGAGGGTTTAGGGTTTATAAAAGCAATGGGAAAGTGATTCAGTGGAGGGTGTGGCGGAGTTGCAGTGGGGAAGGCGGTGGTGTACCCACTACACAAGAATCACAATCAGCGAGGGAAGAAGGAAGAAAGTGGTAGCATCATCATCAATGAAATATGATTATAAAAAGGGGTTTTGAAGGAAAAGGACGTGAGGAAGGGGTTAGAATTTGGAATGGTCTAAGCGTCACGCATCTTCTACTTTCTCTCTCTCTCACACACCTGACCTGACCAACAAGTGCAGGGCCGAGTTTGATTTTAAAACAAGTTTATTCCAAAGCTCAAAATTCAATGTGGGCCTCTTGAAATTTCTATCTGTGCGGGTGGGAGAAAGAGAATTCTCTTTTTCCCCCATGGTTTTAAATGCTTTACCTAAGAATTTCGATCAAAAAGTCAAAAAAAGTTTCGCTGTTTATCTCCACACCCCTTCTGGGTAGGGTTTTCTTTCCTCTGTTCCTCGGATTTTTCCACCTTCCCGACGTCGATTCATTTCTCAAACTGAACTCCCATCTCGCGATTCCTGTTTTCGCTAGGTTTTTGACTTCGATACGGGTCATAGTTTTGCTGGGTTCTTGTTTGTTTTGAGCTCTTCGATGAGCTGATTGCTGAAGTTTTGATGTTTTTGGATTGAGAAATTGATTAGGGCTTTGGGATTTAGGTGTTTCAGCGAACTGAGTTTGAGTTATTTTGTTTGAATTAGAAGAGCTCGTTCTTGTTCTTCCTGTTCTTCCTGTTCTTCTTGTTCAGTGGTTTCTGTTTCTTTTTGTTGAACTGGTGGTGGTGGTGGTGGTGGTGATGATGGTGATTGATGGGTAGTAGAACAGTGAAGGTTGGTGCCGACGATATAAACAAAAAGGTGAACGGGATGCCTAGCTTCGTTTCTTCGATGCCCACAGCCAATAATTCCATGTAACTTTCTCTATCTTATTTAATTTGAATTACTGGACTATGTTGTGTTCACTGTTTGAATTTAACTTTGCAGTATATGTACTTGGCTTCTTGATGAGTCTGTCTTTCTGCTTGTACTTACTCCTTACTTGGTGGTTTATTAATTCATGGAGGGGAATAGGACCATAAGACTTCATTAATACCTGCTTTAATTTCAATGGGAGCACTTTGTTTAATTCCATGAGTTGATTATAGCAAGATTGAAGAATTTTTTCATGGGTTACGTCACTAATTAGGTTAAGAAAATTAGGGGTGTTACGAATGGTATCAGAGTGAAACACTGGACGATGTGCCAGCGAGGAGGCTGAGCCTCGAAGAGGGTCGATTGGGGGGTCCCATATCGATTGTAGAAGAGAATGAATGCTAGTGAGGACGCCGGGTTCTGGAGGGGAATCCACACCGGTTGAGGAGGAGAACAAAACATTCTTTATAAGGGTGTGGAAACCTCTCCCTAGCCGACGCGTTTTAAAAATCTTGAGGGGAAGCCCAAAGAGGACAATATCTATTAGCGGTGGGCTTGGGCCGTTACATAGAGCATCTCCAACTTTGTTACGTTGAATCCTTAGTTGAATGTCAAGTATGACTCAAAGACAGAATTTCTTAGTCAATTCACATCCTTGAGTTCAAGAAATATTTTGTTCCTGACCTTAGTTATAGGTTTGTGGATGCATGGACATCCCTTTCCTTGCTAGGATCTTTTGTTCATCTTTTGCATTACAGTTGGAATTTTCTCTTTCACACTTTGATGGTCTTTTTTCACTTTGATTTTCAGGGGTGCAGAGGGGAGCTCTATTCCTTCATCTCGGATTTCGGACTTAAGAACGCTCGAGCAAACTCTTGGATTTCACATAGAAAATGTAGACCTTACTAGAAGTATGCAACAATGTCCTATTTTGTTATGGAATTTTAGGCCTTTCGATGATTTGTTTACTTCCAAAGTAGTTTCACTAATCATCTGTTCATCTCATGTCACTCTTGATGTTGCATTATTGAGTACACACTGCATTCTGAACTTCTTATGATTTTGACAAAGTTATCTCGGATAATTCCTATGCTAGGTTTCTAGCGTGCTAAGAAATGTTTTGATTGGCTGTGAGATCCTACATCGGTTGAAGAGGGGAACGAAACATTCCTTATAAGGGTGTGGAAACCTCTCCCTAGTAGACGCGTTTAAAACCGTGAGGCTGATGTATTATTATAGAATAGCAGGAGCTACATTTTCTCTTGGTTCATAAAATCTAAATCTATGAAAGTCTTGTTGCTTTTCTCTTCTCTGTTCTTCGTCTTCTCTTCCTGTTGTTCTTCTTCTGCTGATATAATTTCGTTCCAAATTTGCTTGCCTTAGATCCTTTGTATAATCAGATAAAGTCGAATAGTTCGACTCTGAACAACAACATCCAGTTTGGTTCTTTAATTAAGGTACTGTTTTACCTGTTCTCATTTTTTTTTTAATAGAAAGCTCCATTTGGTTTTTTTCTTACTTGTATTTGTTGAAAATTAACACCCACCTGATATAACTATAATGGAATTCAGCCACTTGCATCCACTGATGTAAATCTACCAACTGCTATCATGGGCTCTCAAACATTGCCATTACAGAAAGAATCAAATCCAAATTTGGTTTCTACGTCGGGTGGTCCTCATGAAAACTGGGGAGAGTCTAACATGGCCGACGTCAGCACAAGAACTGATACCTCCACGGATGACACAGATGACAAAAGTCAAAGGGTAATGTCCCTTGAGTATGTTATGAGATTAGTTTTACATTGTTTAATAATCAATGTGTGCAAGTTTCCTGATATCAATAATCAATGTGGTTGAATGTTTTCATATCCCAGGTAATAGTGCCTATCTTTCTGTTTAGTATTCTTGGGTCGTAACCTCACGTTCTTTTGTCTTCTGTAGCTTGACAAGGATCAAGGAAACTCACTTGTCGTGTACGATTCTAGCAACAAATCGAAAGAAAAAACACCTGATCAGAAGGTTATGTTTTAAACTGAAATATTTTTACATTGTTAGCTGAACATCTTGATGGATATTAGCAGCAGCTAATATGCTGTTTAGCATCCTTTTCAGAGCTTACGAAGGCTTGCCCAAAATCGTGAAGCTGCTAGAAAAAGTCGTTTAAGGAAAAAAGTAAGCTTCCGTTATCATTGCTCTCCTCTCTCATTCACAAATTTTCTAAAACTATAAACTGTCTAGTATTGACTTAGTTGTTTAGAAATGTTTGACGAGTTTTATCGTATTATGCATTGAACTTCTTTAATTATTTTTTATCGTTTCCTGTACTTTTGTAGGCGTACGTGCAGCAGCTAGAAAGTAGCAGGCTGAAGCTTACTCAACTTGAGCAAGAACTCCAGCGGGCCCGCCAGCAGGTCGAGTTATCTTTATTTTTGTGCTTAACCATCATGGCACATTATCTTTCAATTTATAGGAAAGTGTTAAGATGCATAAATCTCTGTCACAATTTGTGCAGGGTATATTTATTTCAAATTCTGGAGACCAAGCTCATTCAATGAGTGGAAATGGTATGAAGCTTTTTTCTTTGCATGTTATGGCATGTGATTCTTTTTCACATCTTTTTTTTTTTTTTTTTTTTTTTTTTTTTTTTTTTTTTTTTTTTTTTTTTTTTT